AAATTTATTCTAAAGTTTAATTGTAAAGGCAGAAGACCCAAAATAGCTGATGTAGCACTGAGAAGAACATAGTGGCATGACTGACACAGCCAGCCGTCGACTTACTAGAAAGCTTCAGTAACCAAGACGATGTGGTGATGGTGAAAGAATAAACAGCTAGTCAATGGAACAGAAAACAGAGACCAGAAATAGACCCCACAAATATAGTCAATTGATCTTTGACAAAGGATCAAGGCAATTCAATGGAGAAAGGATAGTCTTCAACAAATGGTGTTGGAATGGAACAACTGGGAATCCACATTTTTAAAAAAAAAAGTGAATCTGGACATAGACCTTACTTACACCTTTCACAAACTAAAGTCAAAATGAATAATAACCTAAATGTAAAACGCAAACCTATAAAGAAGATACATAGAAAATTTAGGTGATCTTCCGTTTAGCCATGACTTTTTTAGATACATAGCTAAACACATGATCCATAAAAGAAAAAACAAGTTGGACTGCATTAAAAAAAATTTCTGCTATCCAAAAGATGTTGAATGAAAAGACGAGCCACAAATGGGGAGAAAATATTTGCAAAACAATGAAATACCAGTGTTACAATGATTAAATCCAGTGGCAAAAATCCAGAACACTGCCGACACCAAATGCTGGCTGGACGTGGAGCAGCATGAACTTTCATTGCTAGTGGGAATGCAAGATGGTAGGGCCAATTTGGAAGACAGTGGCAATTTCTTAGAAAACTAAACATACCCTTAGCAAACAGTCCAGCAATTCAATGAGTCGAAAACGTACGTCCACACAAAAACTAGCACACCAATGTTTACAACAGCTTTATTCAGAAAAGTCCTTCAATAGGTAAATGGATAAACAAACTGGTACATCCACACAATGGATTGTTATTTGGCAATAAAATGAAACGAGTTATCAAGTCACAAAAAATCATGGAAGGCCCTTGAAAGTGTAACACTTAAAAGAAGCCAATCTGAAAAGGCTACATACTATATAATGCCAATATGTTGTCACATGTTGGAAAAGGCAAAACTAGGGAGACAGTAAAAAGATCATATTGCCAGGAGTTGGGAGAGGTGGATTAAGTGGAAGGAGGAATGAACACGTAGAGCATGGGATTTTTAGGCCTTTGAAACTATCCTGTTACTGTAATGGTGGATACATGTTATACATTTGCCCAGACCCATAGAATGGACAACACAAAGAATCTACTCTGATTTTAGTTAATAATGTGTCAATAATGGTTCATCAATTGTAATAAATGTACCACTAATGCAAGATGTCAATAATAGAGGAAACTGCACATGGGAGGGGGATGAGAGGGTGTGGGGGAACTCTGTATTTCCTGCTCATTTTTCTGTAAACACAAACTAAAAAATAAAATCTGTTGATTTGTAAAGATCTGTTTTACTCCGGCTTCTGTGTGGAAAACAGACTAGAGGACTAGCAAACTGAAATGATTCCCGACAACCATTTAGTAAGCCACTAAAATAGGCAGGGTTAGAGATGGCCCTGATAGCAGACCTGGATGGAAATGCACGGTTCCGGGCATAAGAAACTGAGATTATCAATCTCACAGTTTGTCGCTGTTTGATGTGTGTTAGTCGCTCAGTCATGTCCGCCTCTTTGTGACCCCACGGACTGTAGCCTGCCAGGCTTCTCTGTCCATGGAATTCTCCAGGCAAGAATACTGGAGTGGGTTGTCATTCCCGTTTCCAGAGGAACTTCCCAACCCAGGAATCGAACCCTGGCCTCCTGCCTCACGGGCCGATTCTTTTGTCTCTGTGTAAAGGGAAATTAATTCCTTTTCTCTAGTTCCTCATGTATAATCTATGTTAAATATTTGTATCAATGTATGCCAGTGCCACAAATTGAACTGTCACTATAAGCCTGTTTACTTTTAAGTTGACATTTATAAAAATTCTTCAATACAAGTCATTTAAAAATAGTAAATAAATTGGTCCTCAACTTTTCATATCACCTTCCATTTGGAAAGGTTAGAAAAAAATTTTTTCAATGCCCCGACTCTCTTGCACCCACAGAGGTCTGAGTATAAATTAAGGGTTGCCAGTTAGAATCACCTGCTTAAGCTTTAGGAAACAAAAGTGAATCAGAGGCCATCTTCAGTTGGCTTCTGGTTGTCACCAGTGGTTAGGAAGGCTGCAGTTTTTCTGAGATTCCAGTTTTCATTTGCCAGGTTCCTAAGGGTCTGCTGCTCCTTGTTCTAATCTCCCTGGTTCCTAGGTGCAGCTTCCCTTGTCTTCCTGTTGTCTAGATGCTGTTGCTGGTGGTGGTGTCTTACGAGTTCTAATCTGGCCTTAGATGCAGTATCCTTCCTAGTGGACTACTTTCTATATTTTTTTTTTTTCTGTATTTTCAGAGAGCATTCCAGGAGGCCCAACTTAGATCCTGCTCCTTCAGGTTGTCCAATGTTTTGTTTTTCTTTTTTTTCCTGGGTTTTGTTTTGTTTTGGCCACATTGCAGGGCATGCAGAACTTCCCAGGGATTAAGCCTGCACCCCCTGCAATGGGAGCACAGTCTTCTGAACCAGTAGGGAAGTCCTCCGATGGTTTTATAAAAACTTAAATGTTTGTATTAAACCCTTCCCACTTAATAATGAATTTTGTTTTATGCCTTTGCTCTTGATTGGTTAAATATATAATCCATACGCTTTACCCTCTGAGCCACAGGGGAAGCCCAAATCTTAGTTGTGGCATGTAGGATCTAGTTCCTTTATCAGGGATCAAACTTAGGTGCCATATAATCCATAGAGATTTTAAAATGTAAAATTTAGCTGTTATCTGGAAATCCCCCTGTTTTTGGAATGAGAAATGGGAAGAAAAAACACAGGATGTCTGTGATGGTGAGGTTGTTAGGGCTTCCCTTGTGGCTCAGCTGGTAAAGAACCTACCTGCTATGTGGGAGACCTGGGTTGGAGACCTGGGTTCGATCCCTGGGTTGGGAAGATCCCCTGGAGAAGGGAAAGGCTATCCACTCCAGTATTCTGGCCTGGAGAATTTCATTAACCGTATGGTCCATGGGGTCGCAAAGAGTCAGACACTACTGAGTGACTTTCACTTTTAGTTTGATAGCTCAGTTGATAAAGAACCCACCTACAATGCAGGGGACCCCAGTTTGAACCCTGGGTTGGGAAGATCCCCTGGAGAAGGGACAGGCTACCCACTCCAGTATTCTGGCCTGGAGAATCCCATGGACTGTGTAGTCCTTGGGGTCACAGAGTCGGATACGACTCAGTGATTTTCACACACTTCATTACATCAGTGTACAACATCAGTGAATGCCTGGGCCACATACACCAACCAAACTTTGTGACACTTAAGAAATAAAGTAATATAAATAAATAAGAAAGTAACTAAATAACATCAAAGCCTCTAGTTTATGAGGCTAGAATAATAGAAGTCTTCAAGGAAACTGTCAAGAGTTCTATTTTTTCTTTTTTTTAGGTGAGCATATTGTCTAGGATAAATGCATTTGGTTGGGTTTTATGACTCCAGCCCTCAAATTTCATTTCCTTTTTTACTTTGTAATTAGGGTTAACTTTCATCATAAAGTATCAACATGCTTTTGGTTTTACCAGGTGACTCTTATGCATATCTATAATTTGATAATGCAAAAGCAACACTGAAATAAATATTGCATTTTACCTTTTCCTTTAGTCTTTAAAATTGTTATTAACCCTTTGAAAGTCATAATCCCTAATCCCTCAAGATTCAGCTACCAGAGAGAAAGGGCAAGAGGAGGAAACTACTCTTGCCATCTCTTTCCTAGCTCTTGTTACATGTGAGAGCAGCTCAGGAATCAGTCACTTTTTAAGGATGTACTAACTTAATGCCCAGTACAGAAGTGCAGTGTTGCCAGATTTTCCCATTTTTTAAACAATTTGCAACCGGCAGAAATCTGGACTTTTTAAACACAAACCCTCCCAGTTTTAAACTAATTTTTTAAATGTTTAAGCACTGAGTCAAACAAAACCACCTATAAGCTGAATTCCAACCCTGGATCACCAGTTCATTTGAACCTTTGTTCTGAGTGATTAACAGGAAAATGTACACATTTTCAGTAAATGCTTTTTATATACTTGTTAGACCAGGGATCTGTGTGTGTGTTGGGCGGGCGGGGAGTTATTTTTTAAATTGGGATTATAATCAATTGAGTAACTGTAAATATTCCCATAATATGTAGATATAAAGGAATTCTCATTGTTGGTTAACATTCTACATATTAGGGCCATTTTGAAATTCAACAGTTTATTGGGAATGAATGTGATTTTTTTATTAATTAACACCATGACATGAGCCTATAGAATAAGAGATGAGATTCCTGTAGAAGGATATGGTTGTATTACAAATCTTGAATTTAAAGCAGTGACAGATTTCTTCTCAAACTTTGGCACGCAGAGGAAAGACTACGTGAGAACAAAGCAGGAATGCTGTCTTGGCAGCTCCAGCAAATAAATGAATGAAATACTGAAAATCTGAGTAGAGCAGAGGAAAAGTATTACCTGATCATGTGGAGAAACAAGAGAATGAAAAGAAGTAGAGAATTATGCTGTACTTTATCAAAGATACCCTTGATTTTAAGATACCCCATTATTTTCAGTAACACTAAAATTTAAAGGGAAAACCTACCAATTAAAGTATGACATACCCTAGTGGCATATATAAGACATCCTCATTTCACAGATACTATGAAAATGTTATGTTTTTAGAACTGATGAACCATTTAATTGCAGTGTAATTGTTGGGTAGCCTTAAGGGCCCACATGAGGTTAGTACCATGAAGTAAAGTGAAACTAGTGGTCATGGTTGAGTTTTTTTCTAGCAATGTCCAGCTGCACAGGTGCAGACATAGAATGGATTTAAACATTGTAGAGACGGAGTTTGAACAGTTTTGGCTTTTTCATGTGAATACAGGAAAGCAAGAGGGTGACAAGGCAGTTGAAGATGTGTATTAGTGAGTGAGTGATTTTAATAAGAAAGGCAGTTGGAGTCAGTAGTGGAGGAAGTGGGCTGCAAACTTGTGGGAGGGGTTCGAAGAGGAGTATCAGAGAGTGCTTGAATTGAGACTTGTCGGGGTAACTTGACTGGTAACCACAAAGTCGAGAGGATGACTAGGACAGGAGTGGCTGAGATGAGGGGGAAGATAAGATCAACAGGAATGGCAGAGAAGCTGATTTGAAGGATCATCCACATGGATGTTGAAATCAAGGTAGAAATAGGAGTGACAATGAAACAGAAAATCTTCAAAGAATAGTGAGGTATCAAGGGTCGGGTATGGTGGGGAGAGTGGAAGGAGAACAACAACTCAGAGGTCAGTGTAACTGCAGCTGGGAGGCAAGTGGAGCGGTCTGATGACACAAGCATCAAAGATCCATAGTTCTAAGGAGCAACAAGAACATTCTGAAAGTGAAAATGAGCATCAAAAAGGACACTTAATTAAACTCGAAGCCCAGGAGTCCAAGGGAGAAAGAACAGCCATCACTTGAGAAGGCTACAGGGCAATCAGTCCCCCAGGGAAGAGCTGGATTTCAATCGAGCAAGAAGGCTGAGGGAACACCACTACACTGAGGATGTAATTCCATCAAAGGTGTTTGCCTTAGCATCCAGTGCTGGTGGTGAGGGCCCAGTCTGATTCCGCTTCTTTTACAAACAATCTGTTATTTTCTCAATATAAATAAATGTGAAGTTCTAATAAAATTGGAAATCCTGAGATATTACTTTGATGTTTTCAAGTATGACTCATCATATACTGTGCTTTGCATTTTGTGGACTTTTAATAGAAGATTCATGTCTTTTTCAACTCTGGAACATTTTTTTCTATTTCTCTCCATTTTCCCTATTCTCTACTTTTGGAACTGCTACCAGATGAATAGTGGGATATCTAGATTTAGTCTCCATTTCTCAATTTTCCTTTTAAACTTTAGTAGTGAATTTTAAAGAAGGTCATTTTCAACTCACTCAGTTGATATTCCGGCTCACTAATTTGATCTTCAATTGTGGATACTCTATTTTACAGCCCATACATTTTGTTTACGATCATGTTTTTAACATCCAAGAACACTGATTCTTATTTTTGTCAACCTTTTTAAAAAGCAATTAAATACAGGTGACTCTCCAACATTGCTTCAATCCTGGTCTAAGGCAGTCATGGTAATTCATCTTTTGAGCAACCTTTTGATAAGAGACAGTCTATAACAACTCTTATATAACTCCTGAAATTCTTCATTCAAGGAATATGTTTATGTCTTTTAAATACTTAAAGCGGAGAAGAAAAGTCTGTATACACTACAAATCAACAGAAGGTTCAAAATACAAATTTCTAACAAAAAAACACAGTTTTAGCAAAAGATTAAAAACAATGACAGCAAGGTAGCATTAAAAAAAAAAAGTACAAGCAGACCAATTAACTGGACCTAGTAGCATTCAAAATGTTTTAGAAGCTTCAATAAATGGAATAAAGTTTAAGTAGTTATGAACATGTATGTGCTGAATATACAGTGCTGAATATAGCACTGAACATATAAAGCAAAAAGCATTAGACATATAAGGAAAATACACTATAGCAGTATAAGAACTTTTCTCACTCTTTGAGAAACAAGATGTTGAGAATCTCACCAGTGTTTAATGATATTAATTCTTATGTGACAAACTGTACCAAATGACATACTTTCTAAAGAAATATTTACAATATTTGCTTGCTAAATTTGCAGGCTAAAAAGATATCCTTAATAACCTCCCCAATGCAGACTACATATACTGACTCTATGTAATATTAGAAAATGTTATTAACAAAATATATATCTCCAATGACCTGGAAATTGAAATGCACTATTCAGAATAATCCTTGGATCAAAAAAGCAATCACATTTGCAGCTATCAAATATTAAGAAAACAATGAAAACACAACATTCTTAACCTATGGGATGGAAGTAAAGAAATAATCAGGGAATTTGTACAATTAAAATTTTTTCTTTTTTTTTTAGAATTGGAATGAAGACAAACAAATGATCAATTATTCAACTGAAGAGGTAGTAATAAATAAGGGAATTAGAAAGGATTCAAAGTCACAATGCTAAAATAAATGAAAAGGTAAATGACTAGATTTTTATTCCCTGGTACTGAGAGGACAGAAGTGGAATGGGGCAAATCCTAACTAGTCTAACAAGGAAAGAGAAAAAACAAAGGAAATGGAGTAATAGACAATGTTTTTAAAACACTGAGATTATTAAGTGCAACTATATGCTAAAAGAATTTTAAATATAAGATGGACTGTATGATGAGTTCCAGAAGAAAGAAAATTACCAATGTCTACCCAAGAAATAGAACCCTGAAAAGATGAAGGACACATGAGGAAATAGAGATACAGTGAAACAATTAGCTTCAAGAAAAAAGTCAGGTGTGTCTGGATATAAATAAAAGAGCATCAACTTAAAAAAAAATCATTTTCAGTATACATAAACCTTTCTAAATCAAATAAAACATGAGTTTCTAGTTTATTCTATAACACTATCAAAACCTATTAATTAAAACCAGACCTACCTCTTATAATAAGTACAGGGTTAGTCAACAGAAAACAGCAGTATTTCTAATGAATGGCTCAGTATTAGATTCTACTAAGTGGCCTGTCATCAACAGATAAAGGAGAAAATATTTTACAATGAAAAAGCATTAAAAAAAAAGTGAACATCTGATCCTGATAAATGGGTTTCATAAATATTAACATAATATTTTATTTCTAATCTATAGTTTAAATTATACATGAGTAAAATACTAAAAATTATACATGAGTAAAATCAGAAATAAGAATACCCATTAACATTGAATCAACTAGAAAAAATTAATGTGGCCAGTTGTTTTTTTTAAATGACTGCTTTCCTATATAAGCAGGTGACTTCCCAGTTAGTGCTAGTGGTAAAGAATCTGCCTGCCAATGCAAGAGATGTAGGTTTGATTCCTGGGTTGGGAAGATCTCCTGGAGCAGGAAATGGCAACTTCCTTCAGTATCCCTGCCTGGAAAATTTCATGGATGGAGGAGCCTTGCAGGCTAACAGTCCATGGGGCTGCAAAGAGTCAGACATGACTGAGCACAGCACATATAAGCTCACTAGCTTAAAATACATTGTTCATAACAATATGAAGAGCCCATTTCTAGAAGCAATAACAAATTTTGGAAACTCAAAAAACCAACATGTCAGAACCATAGTAAACTTTCAGAAATTTGAGGAACATGCGAAAAGCAAACAAACAAACAAAAACCCTAGTTTAAACAACTGATATGTTTCCAGTTAAAATCCTAAAAGGATGCCTTATGAAAGAGAGTCAAGTGATTCTGAAAGTAACAAGAAAAAATCGGCAGAAATAGACAAGAAAGCTTTGGGAAAAGGGACAATTAAATGATCTTCTGTCTCAAAACAAATACTATTTCCTGCTATATGTGCTACACACAGCTTATGAAGAAAAAATACAAAGGTACTTCTACCAGAAAAGAAAGATCAGGGGTGGAACATAGCTGAAAGCTCAGAAACAGACCCAAATAAGACATGATATTTTCAAACTAGGGATAGGATGAAACTGTCTAACAAATGCTGTTGGCATGCATGTTGTACAGCCATTCAGATAAAGTATAAAGTCGGACCCTTTACCTCACAAGATTTAACTATTTAACAAAAACAGTTTAGAATTAAGTGTAAAAGCAGAAAGCCAGAGAGTAAAATAAAATTGTGTAAAAAGTAAAATAACCCTGGACTAGGGTAAACTTTTCTAAGAAGAAACCAAAAGGAAAAGATGAATAGACTTGACAACATATAATAAATTTTTCTTTATCAAAATACATCACACAGTATTTTTAAGGTTACAGTTTACAAAGGGCAACCCTCTTTATATAAAAGTTCTTCCAAGCTACTGGGAGAAATGCTTAATAACTAAACATATGAATAGTTAATAAAAGACACCTGGGTAGCATGAATTTGAATTTCACTAGTAATCAAAGAAATACAAATGAAAATGACTTCTCACCTGTCAAACTGGCAATGACTCAAAAATTTTAAATACCCAGCATAGCTAAATGAAAAAGGAAAGTAATAGGAATGTAAACCTTACAAACCTTTCCTGAGGGCAACGTGGACATAGCAAAAGTTTAGATGGGTACAATTCACACCAGCAACTCCAAGGAAATTATGTACATTTGTATGCTTCTACTTAGGTACATTTCCCTCACACTGTTGTTTGTAACAGAAAAGTTAGAAATATTTTGTGTCTAGCAATGAGGAATTGTTAAGTTATGGTTTTTCTATAAAGTAGTAATTTATAATCACTAAAAAGAGCAGACTTGAATTACTGACAAAGATGAATTTTCACAAAATATTCAAGGAAAACTAGCTACAAAGCTATAGGAAGTAGAATCCCATTGTTTTAAAAGATATCCATCAAAGGTAAAATATTAATAGTGGTCATCTCTGTATGTGTTCCTACATTTTTAAATATGTAAATATATAAGAAGGAAAAAAAATAAGGGTTCCAGGTTTAAAGTACTGTCTGTAAAACAACAGTTTAACAAGTGGTATATTCCTCACACCAGATGAGCTTATTTCTGAGTCTACTCTGTGTATGAGGCAAGAAGAAAACAAGGATAAAAATAGCCTGGATTTTTAGGGCAGTTTATTTACAGACTATCAAATACAGTCTTTTTTCTTTTGTTAGACAAATGGCTTATAATAAACACATTTGATTTAGGAGTTACGAGACTTTACTAAAAATTCTTGCAAAAAAAACCACACCTTGACAACAAATTAACTGTGAAAAAAATATAAAGTGATTCACTACAGAGCCTCATTTTCAATGTGGCATTTTCAATTAGAAAATTCTTTTTTAATGGGATATTTGATATGGTGAAAGGAATAAGACCCACAAATGTTCTTCTACATAATTCAAAGAGCAAGTTCTTTCCAATATGATCAAAATTTTGTTTTCCCCACCTTCAACTGGATCCCCAACAGCTTTTCTCTTAATAGCTCTTATTTTTAATTATACTAAAAACAGTTTAAGAATTACAAACGTGAAAGAATTTAAAAGCAATATTTGCAGGCCTGCTGATACCGATCTTCCTCCTACAAACAGAAAATAAGTTTAAAGATTCAGTCTTACTCTCTAATTGTTAGGTAACTATTGTCTTAAAAAAGAAAATGAGGAACTTCCCTTCTAAAGGCTATCCATATATGAAAACAACTGTCTCTATAGGCTCCTAAGTTTTCCAAAATTTTATTTGCCTATTTTTTCTGAGGCCTTTTTTTAAGTTGACTTTTAAAAGTCATCTGTTAAAACTAGTTGTTTGGTATTTTAAATTTAATTATTTTAACAAAAGTACTTTAACAGTTAATTTTCTCATTTAGAAGCATTTACTACAGAATTCAGATATAGCTAAGAACAACCCTGGTAATCCATCTAAATCTTATTTTTCTTAGCTGTAAAGAGATGAACCAGATTTTAGACTTTGGGGACATCCTACTCAGACTTTTAAAATATCAAAATCATTAACCTAGGGAATCACTGAATTTTTATTCAAATCTCATATGTCAGCTTTACCTAAAAAGAAAGGCAGGGGCCAGGTAAGGGAAAATCTAAAATTAGATTAAGTTCATACCAAATACAAAAAAACCTTAACTCGGAAATACTAGAAAGATTAGTTTGGAAGCATTTAGGCCATTTATCTTCTATTTTTCTTAAGAAATCTTGATACTTCTTACCAGTTGAGTTGCAAACTAGTCAGATCCAATTTAAAGTTTGCTTTCATCACTGAATTTCCAATTGTTCTATTTTTCCAGAACTTTGTCTCTATTCAAATTTGACTTCAAAATTTTACATAGACACATTTTTCTTACTTTCATGTATGAGTAATTTAGATACAGCTGAAGAGTTGCAAATACTACTTCGCTTTTTAAATATTCCTGCTCACTATCAGTCCACTGGAAGTATTACTTAAAGCCTTTCATGTTGATTGATGTACCCCAAGTACTAGAATAGTACCTGGCACTTGGTAGGCACTGAATATTTACATAGAGTTAAGCTCTGAATCATAGCTAAAGCCCTATCCTAATTCACATTCCACAAACTATTAATCAATAAACCCTTAACATGAGTCTTTTAAAATTTCATGGATGACTGGGACTCTCCAAAAAATAATGGATTGAAGACTTGGGAAACATACTGAGTTATACATGCAGAAAAAGCTGCTGTATCAAGAAATACATAAGGGAATTTCACATGGGAAATAATAAATATTTTCTTCTTTTAATAGGTCAATTTTTTGTATTTTCATCTCATTTGCAATCTGACTTACCTGTTTCTTCCCAAAAATATTTTATGCTCCTTCAATTTCACTCAAGAATACTGATTACTGCAGTTATAACATACAGAATTACTGATTTCATAGCCCTGCTCTTTTCATTAATCCAAATTTACTTTAGTATTAGATGATACAGAAGAAGGCATCAAGATTTTTACCATATTTCATCAATTTTAAGAAGCTGCCTTCCATATAACAAACAACATCTCCGAACCTGGGAACTGTCTTAGCCTTGAGTTGTGTTTAACTGGCAACATTTTTCCTAACTAGTGTATCTTACAATCAATGCTGTCTTAGGGTAGTATCAGGAGCCGTAGTTCAAATTTTCGACCTCAAGCAACAATTTCCTTGTCCTCCCAGCCACTCTCCCAATATAAATATATAACTGAAATGTTAGGAAAAACTATCCAAACACAATTCAATTTTATATAAAATATTTAATTTTTAAAACACAGGCTATTCATGTCACATAAATATCTTCAATTTTAGGTTAGCTGCTATGGTCAGCAGAATTATCAAGTGTGACTATTAAGAATAACTTAGATACTGTCACTTATAGGAAAGTCTAAAGCTCTAAGACTCACCATATTAAAATTCCGGATACTTGAATACTGTAGCTATTTTGCTAAATTTCAAAATATTTCTTCACTTCCTGCAATGTAGTTTTAGTATAAGTTGTTAGTATTCAATATTCAAATAAAAGCATAATAATTTTCTTTCATTCATTTCTCAACAAAAAAATTCCATCAAAAGATAAAATGGTCAACTGACATCAACTCATTTTATAGCAGTAAAATGGTAAATTATTCACCTTAAGATAATCCTATTGTCACCAAACTATAATGCTTTCCATATACTGTTTTGAAATGAACGTTCACAAGTCAGAGGGCACAAGATTAAAAGACTGACTTTGGAACTGGAGCAATATTCATTCAATAACAGTTGTTCCAATTTAAGATTTCAATCAAAAAATAAGTTACCAGGAGAACGATTTAAACAAAATGGTTAATTGGCATTTAGTGCTAATGAAAACACTGGTTATTCACCTTTGGTTCCTTTCTAGGATTACTGTAACGGTACTATAATGGTACATGTGTTTGAGTGTGCACAAAGAGACTTGACACCATTACAGTTTAAATAAGGGTTAGTCCATCATTCTAAAGTGAACTAAAATAGTTACTCTAGGTGTGGCAGACGGTGTAGTAAACCTTACAGAAAGTGAGAGAGATAATAAGAGGGGTTTTTGCACTACTTTTTCTTTTTACTTCAATAAATTCAATCTAGGCAATGTTTCTAGTTAACGAGTAAAGTGAACAGAGTTAACTTTGTGTTAAATGGCAATTATATAATTTGAACAGTGGTGTTTGCCACCCCTCCCCCCATGAACTTTAACTGAATTATGCAAATTGTTATTAAGCCTTGTTTCTTTGCTACTGCCCTCCAATTACCCATGACAAAAGGAAACAGGGACAATGTGGCAGCCTGAAAGAAAACAATACTCTAAAATGCTCATTTAGCTATTACTTTCCACCGTTTAAATGAGACAGAACTTTTTAGAACTTTTTCTCAGAAGTAACAGAAGGTGCTGATGGGAGCTGGACTTTTATTCTCTGCTCTCACTCCCCTGTCAAGAGAAGGTGGTGTTGGAAGGTAACACAGCCCAAAGAAAAGGAGAAAGTGTGACAGGCAGAGGGAATGGACCTGACAGGAACTGAACAGGCAGCCCCTGGACGCTTGAGAGCTCTCTGCCTCTTCAATACAATACACTGATTCCCTTTAGAAGACAGATGGGTGTAAAGGTTTACTACTTTTTCAGACCTTAAGCTTACCTGTTAAGGCACTTACTTACCCTCCCCACCCCACCCATATTTTTCATATAAAACCCACTATTTCATTTGAATGCATTTTGCTAGGCTATGATAATCTGCAAAATAAACCAAAAATAACGCTGACCATTCTTTATATAAAACTGTTGCATCAAGAGAAAGGCTGTGTTTTATTTTCTGAAATGAGCACAAGTACACCTTTCACAATAACACTGAAAGCAGGTGCGAAGACTGACAGTGACCTCTGACTAAAGGAGCTTTGTAAAAAGAAAATACCAAATAAATCAGTGCCCTTTCTGATTGCTGTAAAACTGGGGGGGGGGGGGGGACGGGGGGGGGGACTGGGTGCTTGTTACATAAAAGTTGGTCCAAACTTACAAAAAAGCACAAATGTGCATAGTTCAGAAGATCTGCAAGAGGGCCATAAAAGACTTTTTATGTCCCTAAGATTAGCATCCACTTAAAACTGCAAGAATACAAAATAAAATCGTTAACTAGAATTTGTGAAGATGTACAATCAATAGATCTAGGTTTTAGAACAGCATGAATTTAAGCAAAGGGTTTTTTTTTTGTCTTTTTTTTTTTTAACTATTGTATGCAAGACCCTTTTCCACATAAAAATAAAGCTGTTGTTGAATTAATATTATTCAAGTCTCTTGGATTGCTGCTTTAAATTGCAGCTAGAAAAGTCTTTCCAGATAAAAATGATGTGCCTGAGGAAAAACAGATACTCAGTATGGTAACCCTCTGCCTCGACCTCTGCCAGCTGATGTGCTAATGTGTCCCCTGTATCCTTGTGAATACCCAGGTCCTTGGGCAGGAGAAGTCCAGGTCTGTCCATGCATGAGGCCATGGCCGCCTGGGTTCTCCTGTAAGTTACCACCATAGTTATAGTTGTGCATCTTTGCTGGCAGAGGATGAGTACTCTCCGGCCCTGTGGAAGGGTCACTGCTGTTTGCCAGCACTGCAATGGGGCCATGGCTATATTCAAATCTATGGTCCTTGTCTCCACTAAACAACATGGGGCCTGTATTGAGGTAAATGTCTCCGTATCCAGCTACCGAACTGCGAAATGACTCGGAAAAGGCAGAAGGCTGAGGTGGACCACTAGAATGAGATGAAGTAGTACTGTAGTTATCCAAGGACTGAATATCTGAGTTTCCCATGAAACTACGTCGTTCCAGTGGTGGAGCAGAGGCGCTTCCAAGACCGTCATTGCTAACATAAGGAGCAGAAGAGAAAGAAGAGGATCCAAAATTGTCCTTGTAGTCTGAAGAAGGTACATAAGTATCTCCTGCTTGGTAATCAATACCACTTTCTCTTTTGGGGTCATCCTGGGGCTGATGCTGAGCAAGGAGCTGTAACAGAGCTGCTTTTACTCCGGCATGAGGGTCAGTTAACGAAGAACTAGTGGTGGGTACGTGCTGGTTTTCTGTCCGGTAATCTAGATCTTCTTCAGTGACTGGCGGTGGTTCTGGAGGTTCAGGAGGTCGCTGATCAGGAGGCAGAATACGAGGCCGGTCCGGTTCTGGTGTGAGCTCCAATAGCCTCATATCTTGGTGCTGGATCAGGTCATCTTGCCCTAAGTGAAACAAAACGAAAAAGAGAGTTGAAAGTTACCATGGAAAACAAAATTTTCAAAATACTCAATGTTTCCTAAATGGCATAAGAAGTTCCATCTCTGGCAAAAAAACAACCAACCAACCAAAAACTCAAACAAAAACCACCCAAAAGTCAAATGAAAAATTAAAAGGTATATGTAAGTACTAACACTGCCTGCTACCATTTGAGTTTATGGTGACAGAAAAACTGTACTGTATTCAACTTTTAAAAGTCATCTCAAATGTACCTATCTATGGCTTCACATATGTGAAGCTTCTGCTTTGGTCAATCATCCAGTTTTAACTGGAGTAAAAGATTACTTTTTTAGCATAGATTACAAGAGAAACATCTACAGCATTCATATGAGTTCTACTACCCACAGACAAAGAATCAATTCCTAGGAGTATACAGACTAAGAAACCAACCTATAACCAGTAACCTGAGTATTTTCAGGACATCAGCTAGCAAAGCTAAACAATACACATTACAGATAATCATCAACAGCAAGAAAAGAGACTGAGAGCAGCCAGGTCCGTGGTCTGCTGTCTGCACACTCACCCGACGCTGGCGTGCTAGGTTCTGGAGGCGGCCGGAGCTGTAATGGTGCTTCATGTCCCGACCCATTTTCCCTCTCTTCCAGCAGCACGTCTTTCTGCTTTGACTGCTGAGCCTTTATTAACTGAGTCAAGAGAACCGCAAATGCACTCTGCACAGCCGCCTGGGCCGCATCAGGCTCCACTTTAGGCTGCATGTTCTGAGAAGAAGGCTGACTTCCTCCCAATGGTTTCGAAGACTCCTGTTGTGGTGTTGATGGATCTGTCTGTTTTTCACCTGTTGCCAAAATTCCAGCAGGAAGGTTTATTTTATTTAGCTGCTGCTGAGTCTCAGAGTTTACCTTAATGTTCAACACTTGGACAAAATCAGCCATATTAACACTTGTTTTAGACTGTAGTAGGTTTAGCAGAATTGCCAATTCACTGTGGTTTAACTGCTGTCCAGGGCCTGTTTTTACTAAAGACAAAATTTGTATTGGTTAGAATTGCCATAATTCATAGCTCCCCCACCCCACAAAATGCCTCTGTATTACCATATTAAAATGTACATGTGTGGGACAGTGTTTAAGAAATATTGTGAAAAGGGAATCTTATTCTAGTTCAATTTCATGTACATTTAAGATGTTAAGTGCACATAAGTTAAAACAAAAATGAAAAAGAACTGCAGCCCATTTTGAATAAATTATCTTTACGGGTAAATACTTCAAACGGAAAATCAAGACCAGCATTAGAAGCCCATACTATAGACATGACCAGGAAATCGCACCTGTGAATGGGCACTGGTGATGATGACAGCTACCATTTCAGGTTACTCTCTGAGCATATCCTTTATTCCTCACAACAACCGTATAAGGCATGCTTAATTACTGGCCCCACTTTTAAAAAAAAACAAACAAAAAAAAAAACTGAAGAAGAAACTGGTATCCAGAGAGACTAAATAACTTGCTTAAGGTCACAAACTCTCTAAGTGGCAGAAATGAGACTTGAACCCAGATATTCTGATTCCAGAGTCTGAACTTTAAACCATTTTCTATACTGCTCGTCTAAAATAATGCTTCTTTTTTAAGAACCTAAGCTTATCTTTGCAGTAAATTCAAAGTGGATTTTATAGACTGACTGATATAATGTCTTTTATTCAAATTGCTTTTATTTAAAGTTAAGCCCTCTGGGTAAATTAGGAACTTCTACAGAAGCATGAGTGTCATGTACATATGTGTGTGTGTGTTTAGTCACTCAGTCGGTCCAACTTTTTGCAACCCTTTGGACTGTTGCCCACTGGGTTCCTCTGTCCATAGTATTTTTCAGGCAAGAACACTGGAGTAAGTTGCCACTTCTGACTCCAGGGGATCTTCCCTACCTAGGGATCAAACCTGTATCTCCTGCGTCTCCTGCATTGTAGGCAGATTCTTTACCCAAGACATCAGGGAAGGCTATTTACATGTAACATGGCATTAACTCATCACCTATAAAACAGGTTGTCTTTCTTTTTCTAATTTTCTATTTAGACTTGTGATGGTTTATATAGGTTCTTATGCAGCAAACTTACCTGAGTCATACGTAACACAAAGGCCCTGTACGTAATACCATATACATTAAGTGATAATACAGATACTGATAAGCAATTTCTATAACCACAGATGACAGACTAATAGAATTCTAAGATGAAAAAGTGATGATTAATTCTATTTTTAATATATTCTATTTACATATTTTAGATATTCATTGTTTCTTAGTATTTTTTTAGATTAACTGAAAACAAATTCTTGAGAGTTCTTATGATCTGTAGTTATTAGTAAGGAATTGTGCTTATTTGCTACCCCGTTAAGAGCCAGTTTTCCTCATTTTCCCTTTCACTTCTCTATTAGCAGATGCAGTCTCCATGTGAGCTCAGAGTACACTTTAATTATGGTGTCTCATCTACAGAAGGGATATTTTTACTTCATGACACTTACTGGTGATGTGAAAAAAATGGAGCTAAGAAGATTCATTCCTATTTCAAAAAACTAGAATAACAGCGACAGTTTGAATAGAGAAGAAAGAGAAGAAGAAAAAAATGAAACTCTACCATTAACAGAGTTATAAACATGTAGAGCTAAGAAATAATATAAAATGAGCCCAGATTTCATTTTTAATCGGCTAAAATAAGAGTACAATAACTATCTTCTATTCCACTAGTCTTGGCAGTGGAATAAGGACATCAGTTCCATGAAGAGAAGTAGAAATAAAGACCTGGTGTTTTCCTTAAGGAATATGACAACTGTTACCTGGGACAAGTGACCACCATCCAAATTACTTATAATCATCTCAAAGCTTTTTTTACTAGTTGATGGTATATAAAACAAGTGACACAAACACAAACCAAGAAAACTTCTGTTGCTTCTCTTTTGTCTTTCTCCAAGTTTTACTATTTTAAACATGAAGAGAAATTATATTAAACTTGATATAGATAGCCCTCACTTTGTACAACAAAGGTGTTTTCTCCTAAGCTACGAATATCAAGTATTTTCATGTACAAGGGGAATTCACTATTTCAAGAAACTCTAAAGAATACTTCTGAAAAACAAGTCACTAATTTTCATTTTTAAAGTAACATTAACACTTTATCTAGTCTGACCAAGGTCAGTCAAGTCTAAGCTTGTAGATTATATGAGAAAGTATTAAAAGTAATCTTCCTCAAGCTTTCTCAGCTAGTCTACTCTATATTATACTTAACCACCAAAAGTTCAATCTGATCCACAGATGTGTTTTAATCAACTAACTCATCGGTCAATATTTACTCATCTCTTAATAAGTTTAGGACTATTTTTCATGTTTAACAAAACACCACACACACGTGTATTTATTTTTATCATATCTGTCTTCATAAAAAAATTAAAGTGAAAGTTTTCTGGATTCTTGAGGCAAAATGAGGGAGTGGATTCTATTTTTTTGTTAACTGAAGACACTTCTAATAACACTGAAGAGATTGGTTTCTCATAAAAAAGCTTACTCTTGTAACAGATTGAATCAGAGGAAAAATTTAAGTTTCCTCAAAATACCCTTCTTTATCATACTTCAAATCATTTTGGACACAATGTCAGATTTCAGTCTTTGAAATTCTGTAACAGAGTGGGAAATATTTTAAAAGTGATCTGAGGACATTATAAACGGTATGAAAGAGCTTCTAGTAAGATTTCTGACTGTTTTCTTGTATCTTTCGTCCTCCTCCTCAAGAGCATCCACAGACACTGAATGCAGAGCCTCAAAAAACAGTGTTAGTAAAAGATCTACTGACTCTTGCACCAAGGGAAAAAGTAGAGAAATCCGACCAATCACTAATCATATGTAATTTGATACAGTTAATAAATTAATCTTACCTTGAGAGTGCTTAATATTATGTTGCTATAGCAGTGAAACATCTGTACTAGCACAACCAAATAATAAGGAAATGTTAAATTCAGTGCTCATCTTTTATCCACAAGAGCTTTAACACTACAGCAATATAGTTAATGGCAACCACAAAACAATGTGAAGCAAACCAACCCATGAAGTATTACTGACCAGGTGCTACATTCGAGTTGCCCTGAGATTTCAGCTGTGAGGACGGCAGCACACTCTGAGGTGTGCTAGTTCTGCTGTCATCCATGCCCAGAGACAAGTCCTTTCTGGGGGCTTTAATTGTGGAAACATCATCAGTCATGCCCATCTGCTTCTGTCGTCTTCGCTTTTTACTCCATAATTCATGACAATCTTGCCATAATGGAAGGCTGGGGGCAAAAAGTATTAAATTGTTTGTCAACAGCATCTCTTAACAACAACAAAATGCTAATACTTAGCGTTTGCTAATATACAGCAAATATATAGCAAAATGCTAATATACAGCACCAAAGCTGCCACCCCGACTCCCCTGCAAGTTTTCTTGAAGATTTCACACACAGGTCTTATAAATCCTCCAACACAAATCATCCACATGTCTGTACAGGTTTCACCTATACAGACAAACTGTTTTTCTGTGGCTTCTGTATAATCAATGAATAAAAACTTACTAAAACTATGAATGAAGAGTAAATGTTCATAAAAGTAGGTTACTATTATCTTTGGTGCAATCTTTTAAAGCCAATTCTCACACTGTACATTATACACTGAATAGGACATGAAAAAAAGGTGAAAAATATGCCACTTGCAGAAAATAGACACAGAATTAATAAGTAGCAGAGGCTAGGACATAACGTTTGTGAAAAACTTTCTAGTATGAGCTTTTTACTTTTTGATATCCTCTTATTTGCTTCTATAATCAAATGCTCTAGAATTAAACTGATGCTAAAGAGGAGTTTCAAAAACAGACTGTAATCCAGGCTTATCACTGATACTTATCATTGAGAGTTTTGAATAACTAGCAACTATCAAAGTTATCCACAATTCTCAAACAATTTTTTGTGTAATTTCACAGAATTCACAACACTGAAGAATAACTTTTGCTTAAGAAAGACTTAAATATTTGATTTATAAATATTTTCTTCTTACCCTAATAAAAAATCCAATGGGAAGTTACAATGATATCTATTTTAAAGATAAGAAAATTGAGGCTTGGAAAGGTTAATAAACTTGCCCAGAATATCTATAAATTCCCTTAAGCAGCCCCAACCTAATCTTCAACCTGGATATGTTTACCTCTAGGGATACAAGAAGATTTTCTGATGGGGTATACCTGAAATTGTTCTAAAAGTTCCATATCCATGTGTCCGCTTTCCTAAAACTGATCTTTGAGAAGGGCCTGCATGTTCAGAAAGTTCTTTCACACGTCCTCTTTCACAGTTTTATCTCATGTTATAAAATAAAGGCATATGCAACAATATTGTCGAATCTTAGCAATATAATATTAAATTTTTTTAAAAAGTCATTCCCAAAAGATTACAAACAGCATGACACTTTCATAAAATTAAAAGCAACTAAAATTGTAAAATGTAACTTGTTATGAGTACATTTAGATGGCAACAAAAAGTATATACAAAAGAAAACAGGGATGATGGTTACCTCCAGTGGAGGAACGCAAGGGGGATAGGTCATGGGCGGAGAGGATAGGATATGAGTAACATAAGTTATTGTCAAGGTTCGAGCTTTTATTCGGTAAGTTCATGGCTGCTTATTAACATCATTTAAAATAACTAAGTGACTAAAAGAATAAAAGAGAGCCATGCATGGACCAATGATGAGTGACACAAGAATTATGATTAAACCAAGTCTATGCACCTGAGGTCCAAAAACAAAACAAAGGCATACCTCTCAGTCATCTTACTATGATGCATTGCCTCAGCGTGTAAAAACCTCCTGGAGTAACAAACAAAGGGACAATTTGAAATATTGATATTGGGAAGCTTTAAGGCATCATAAACCTGCCAAAGACTTTCCTTTCTCTATCTGTGTGTGTATGTGTGTCTGTGTGTGTCTCTACATACATGTGTTATAAGGTATGTAACCTTAGCCACTGTTGGGGTTATTCTGAATTCAGACATACTGCAGTACTGTAGTAAGGGGGCTAGAGTGCTTTTATTTTTTCCAAGTTGATGTTCAGAGAATGCATTGCTCTTGTGGGAGAGTCCCATGAGAATACAGCAAAGAAACCCACTAAAAAGGGATTTTGTTCCCTTCCACAATTTAAAGGTAAGAGACTTGTTATGGATGATCGCAACACTAGGAAAGATAAACATTACCCAACAAATAGTAATAGGTTAGTGATGCTATTAGATGTACTGGGAATGTTTCCAGGACAACCAAATTTTTAATGTGCTTTTTTCTAAACGTTCAAATACAGGCTCAGGCACTTACTGTGTCTCATAGGCAAGTAACTTGACCTCTGTGCCTCACTTTCCTTATCTTTAAAAACAGAGTTAACCAAACAATCTACCGTGTGGAGTAGAAGTAAATGTATGTTAACATATGTAAGCACCTGGACAGTGCCTTTCACACAGCAAGCATTATATTCATATTTCATCATTCAGAAAGGTAGTTTGAAAGTATTTTGTATTTAATCATATCACAACATATTTATTCCATTTACAGTTGATCATATTTATCTTATGAATTGTTTAAAGCCTTTTACTGGCTTTTAAGGAAAAATAACATTATAGACTAGCTGCTAGCCTAATCCACTTTTTAACAAAGTGCACTATTTCATTACATACATTAAAAAAGTTTGACAGGATATCTAGTAAAATTAATGAAATTTATTTTTAATACTATACTCATTTGATTATTCCTAAAAAACTGTTAACAAGAATTTAATACATATGCCATTTCCCAAAGGAATACCAATGCCTTTCTTTATAGTTCTCACCTTCACATTTTACAATTTTAACTACCATTACATAAGAAAATAATAAAGAGTAATGTTATACTATGTATATAGCCTTTTATTTAACTATCACATCAATATCATCATAATTTCAACCCGACTGCTTTAGTAATGTAACTAACAAAGATAAATCCCATAATTTATTACTGGTTGAATAGAATTTTCACCAAAATGTGTACTAACATGTTTATTTTTAATGGAAAAATATAGTCCAGTGTGTTCTGATAAAAATTAAATCAATTTAGGTTATGTGTTTGACAGTATGAACAGAGTTTCCTACAAGGTTATGTGGCAAATATTTTCCATAAATCAAATGGGATGCATCTACAGTTTCCAGATTCTGACAAAAGCATATATTTTTAATATGTAATAAGAAATGCAATTTAACAAATGCATTAATTGGTTAAGTAGCACTGAAATTACATGCTGACTTCCTAAGTGCAAATAAAAGAAAAAGTAACAAGTATAAGAAGTCATGTAATAAATATTGGTAAAGTTCTTTGGTTTATTCTCTCAAAATTTGAAAAAAATAAATGATTAATGACTGGTTAAGAAATCTTTTCCAAGTCATGTGGTTTCTAATTCTTTGCTGTCAAGAAAATTAGAGAAAGAATCTTAAGTTGACATCTGAAAGGTCATTAAAATAATTTTTTTTTTATTAAAATAATTTTTGATGACAGAGAACTGTGATCTTCGGGACATAATATCTAAGAAGTTCAAAAAACTCAGTGATTTAACTATGACAAAACTCCATCCAGTCTCAAATGCTTATTTTAAAAGGGTACTTAGAAAATTTTTAAAATTACCATTAATGTGGAACTACATCTCATTCTAAATATGTAACATTAATTAACAGATATGCAAAACACTTGAAAAAAATCTCAACTCTATTTCATTAAGGTTGTATCTCTGATAAAATCTATTATTAGTGTTTTTTTTCACTAAAATATGCACTACTGATTAATTAAGAAGAAAAAGCTTTGTAGTTAGAGGAAATTTTTAAATTAAATTCCCACTCATATATATATACTTATTTTAAAGAAGTACAACAGGGTAATCAATAAAATATTTTCAAGCATAAATATATGCTACATTAAAAACCTGCAAAAGCAATGTAAGTTCATACATACACACACAAAAACCCAATGATGTCCAACTGTTGAAAAGTCTGTTCATACATTTCTAAGTGAATATTGATTAATATCAAATGCTAAGGTATTTTGATTCCACTAGATACATTTACAAGATAACTGCTGTATTTAAAAGTATCTACAATTACATACTGAAAGTTGTATCTTTTGCAACTATTTAAACCCTTGATTTTAAAAGTTTAGATGGCAGTTTAAAATGTGCTCAATCCAGTTTTACCAGAATTTTTTTTGTGTGGACCACTTAAACCAAGAAATCAATTCAGTACTACCAATAATGGGAGAAAAATTACATTACATTCCTCTTGATATTATATAGCAAGAAATACATATCATCACCCTAAGTAGTATTCTTGCTAAAAAAAAACCAAAAATACACTCCAATTACTGGTTACACTAGTTCTGATCATGAGGAAGTAATTAAAGCCAGACTGTAGAATGCTTTACAAAATAGCTAGCTCATCAAAAATGTCAATGTCATAAAAGTCTTCCCTGGAGACCGAAGAGACATGACAACTAAATGAAATGTGTGAGCTTGGAATAAATTCTTCACCCAAAAAACCACACCAAAACAAAACAAACAAAAAACAGAGTATAAAGGCAATTATTGGGCCAACTAGATAAATTTGAATATAAACTATTAGATATTTAAATGTTAAATTTCCTGTGTTTCATAATGATATTGTAGTTATACAGAATAAACTCCTAGTTCTTATACATAACATGGTGAAAGTGAAATGTTATTTCCACAATAATCAAATAGTTCAGGGAAAAAGATACAGAGTGCTAAATATGTCCAAATATCACCTAAGTGTTGAATCTAGATGAAGGATATATGAATGCTCATTGTATTATTCTATTTTCTGTATAGAGTTGAAAATTTTCAAAATCAAAAGTTAAAAGGGTTGTACTAAAGCCAAAATTTCAAGACTACTGACATATACTATAAGCAAAAAAAAAAAAAAAAAAAATCCATGAAACAATTCAACAGTGAGTGATTCAGGTTCCTCAGCATGTCAGATGATAGATCCTTTCTGCCTTTCAAAATATCTCACAAAGGCTATTCATATACAGTTCAATAAAAAGTAAAGCCAAGTATAATGGATCTCACAGAACTGTAGTAAGACCAGTTTCATTAATTAAGCAGAAGAGTCAGGATCTGAACACCAAAGCCCATGTTTGTTCATTCACAATATGCTAACTGTTATTATATAGACACACTTTGTTGTTATAGGAACAGGTTTGCTTTCATGACACTCATCATTTTCAAAATTACTAACAAAATCTCTACAAACTTTCCAGATTCTATCAAGGAGAATGAAATGGACTGCTTTATCCCCTTCCCCAAATCAATCCTAGAGAAATTACAGGAACCACAAAGGAGTGAAAGAGTCAAGAACTCAGCCATTCTGACTCCCATGCTCTATGCGTTGCCTGCCTCCCAACCCCAACAACAGACAGTAAACTCACTCCATACAGGTTTTTGATGCTAATGTTCTTTCATGCAGTGATAAGGATTATCTATTGTATAGTCTGCTAAGGAGTATTTCAGAACCTCTTTTTGTTACAGAACTAACTCGAATTTGATAGCTGGCTTCACCCTTTACTAGATTTGTATTCTTGGGCAAGTTTCTTAACCTCTCTGAACCTGTTTGCATCTCTGTAAAATGGTGATAATAATATGCACTTCCTAAGATTATAAAGATTAATGCACTATACACTGAGAAATGCTTAGCACAGCACTCAAAATTTTAGCTACAGCAAGTAATATTGATAGAAGCAGTACTACAATAGCAGCAGCAGTGACTTGTTTTTAAGAGCTGAACTATATTAATAAAATTAGCTACAGGAGAGCTGCTTTTACTGGTCTGATGTTTAGTTGAACATTTGATGTGCAAATTATATGTACTAGTGCTATTCTATTTCTTTTTCTTTTGATTTAACTAACCACAGAATAGCTTGATAGTAACATACAGATATTATTAAAATTGTCCAAATTTTGCATATGATAAAAAGTTACTTACTCTGGTGGAGGCATTTTTGAGGGTTCCACATCCCGCAGGAACTCACACTGAAGAGCCTGCTCTGCAGTGCAGCGCTTACTAGGATCCAAGGCGAGCATGTAATCAAATAAGTCTAGTGCGGCTGCAGGAATACTGGCATGAGAGGATTACAAGTCACGCGAGTTCTTTGACTCAAGTTTAATGTTTCTGTAGGAGCTTAAACATTAGCATTTTGTAACATGTTTGCAACAGCTTATTCCAATAAGTTACAAATCTTCCTTTGAAGAAATGCGTATTTTTTACATAATTTTGTAAATTATTCTAAATAATTTGAAAACTGGCAAACAATAGCATATTTACTACTCTGTGGGCAATTTGCTGTTTTAACATTATCTAAAAACTGAACAGAATAGTTTCCTACAACAAAATAAAAAACTGAATTCAAGTATCTTGAAAACTATTTCATTAAAATTTTAAATGATATTGTTAAACTTCTCTCAGGTAAACACTAACTCAAACACACAACCCCAAATAACTGATTTCATAATGATGGTGAAATGCTTATTTGCATGTAGCAAAGGGACATTCAAAATTAAATGATACAGTAGAATTGTGATAGGTCTACCTTAGGTCAACAGAGGCTAGAGTGACATTTAGAATTCTAAAGAAGTAACTTTGTAAAAATCAATGCAATATGGATGTTTAAGCATCCCCTTCTTACAAAACAAATTCTTCTCTTAACTTTCGACGATATTGCTTCTTTGGTTTCATGGTGTTGAAATATGGTAGTTTGATTACATCAGGCCACACAGCAGGACATGGACTCCCACATATACGGCTAAACAACACACAAAAAGAAGTACATCAATATAAACTACATGGAAAAAATAATACATACAACTGCTATACAAAACAACTCCTTTTTAAATATACAAAAGCTGAAGTTCTGATATAATGTATAAAAGTTTCATTAAATATTTTAGTCATCCCAAATAAACTGTTTTAAGAATTTCTTTTCAGTGAATGCTTCTAGCACTCTATAAACATCCCAATTTCTAGCAAGAAAACCTTCATATTTGCAAAATCAAATCTTAAAGACACAGGTAATATTCAAAAGGTTGAGCATATTTGGAACCAAAATTTTAAATTTTTATACCAATTGAGGAACTAGAGTTTGGTATATGTATTCTCTGGTTTTGCAGGCAGCTATCATTACTACTTCTCATGAATATAATGAAGTCTGCAATAACAGCAGAAAACATTTCCTACATTGAAGACACTAACTAAACAGTATAGACTGCTGCTGAATTTGATCAACTAGAGAACCCTAAAAGTCACATTCCTGAAACACAGTTCTTCAATTTCAGTAGTGCCTCTGATTTCAAGGTATTTAGAATGTTTAACTGCTTTACTCTCTGTATCTTGAAATCCCTCACTATTCTTATAGTAAGTCCTTCATGAACTAAAGAAATGCTGTAACAGATAACTCTAGCTGATAAACATTTTAAAATGCTTTGGTAGTATGTAGATGAAAAACTGGTTAAATATGCTTAACTCAAGTATATTGAATCTCAGGAATAAATGTGTATCTTATGTAAAATTACCAGCTGACCTTCATATATAAAAAGAAAAGGTCCATGCATCACTGACTCAAAAGTAAAAATATTCTACACATACATAAATACATGTACTAAGGTACAGAAGCAAGTGACAACCAAAGTTGCCATTCTTCAGCAGACCTTAAGATCACTAATACATTAGAAACATTTATACCAGATGATGGGAGCATTTTTAAAGCTGTGTCACTGAAACTGTATTTTGTTTCAATACAGTTTAGGATTTTTGTAAATCCAAGCTTTTAAGATCTTACTCTTCAATATGCCTATCTCTTCTTCCTTTCAATCTCATTCTCACAAGTTCCTCAAAAGGAGAGAAGGCCAAAAAGGAGCATGGCTCTCTATGATCAGGTCCCAAACTGTCTTCCTCATTCTCATCTCCCAATTCATCTCTCCACAGGCCAACCACTCCTGCATGTCTTTGTTCATACTCCTTTTTCCTAGATTCTACCTAGCTGAATCCTTTTCATTCCTGAAGATGCACATCAAAAATAATCTACGTACAATGTTTTCTGTATCCTCACTGTCCAGAATAGTCACTTTCTACATGCTCCTGATTTCTTTTGACACTATTTCATCCTGCTTTACATTTTAGTTGTTTACATGACTTTATCTTACTAAATTATGGTAACAGAATCACTCTTGCACTTTCATATACCACATAAATATAAATAATCAATCCCTCGCAGATTGATGTGCACCATAATAGAAGTATAAAATGCACTGGAATAAAGAAAATTAAGGATGCTTTAAACTACAAAAATATAAGAAAATGTACCTGAGTTAGAGAAGAGATACAGAATTTTGCCTACAACTCAAAGGATAAGTAAACAATAAACAGGTGGTAAAGGGAATAAGAGAAATATGTTACTGGCAAAGATTAGTGCACAGGCAAAGTCATGAAAATAGCAAAGTATAAACATTCGGGAGGCAAATCAAGGAAAGTGGTATAGGTGGAATTTGGGGCTACAGAGGTTTATTTAGAAACACAGACAGGGGTCACACAACAGTCTTATGAGGCAGACTCCTAACTACAATGAAGACAGACTCTGAAAACAAACTTTAGACCTAAACGCTATCTGTGTGGTATTGGTATAATTGTGCTGCTTAGAATCTGTTGCTCTTTTGTAAAATGAGATTCATTTTATTTCAGAGCTGTGAAAGTAAATGATCCAGCATCTGGCTCATTAATAGCCTTATAATAGAAATCAGCTTCATTATCTCATAGCCAAAGACTTTTATGTATTTTGGGAAGATAGTTGACTGGGAAAGTTATCTAACTGGGAGCAGCATACAGGATGGAACACACATTCTAAGACAGGGAAAAATTTTAGAAATTAGGGAAGCAGACATGACAGCAATTGACAACTGCATTTTAGCAAAATCAGTGCCTGATAATCAATTAGCTATCCCTAAATCATTTTTGAAGACGTTCTGAAATGCATCATATGCTAAATCTCTAAATATCTGAGATCGTTTATGGGAATCTATTTTGATCTGATTTATCTATTCTGACATCAATATCATACGAAATTCGCTTTACATTTTTCTTAAGACAAGACAAACCCCACTATGTACTCATTTCTCTAATTATCCTTTTCAGGATTTCCTTACAGATGAATTGTAGAATCAGTACTGTCACATTCCAAAAGTAAGAGAATCCTTGTTGGGATTCAACACAGCTGCTCTGGATTAAAGAACTGTGATCTTTACAAAGCTTAATGTTTCAATTTTTATATTTCCTTTGGTTTTATACAAGCATCTCTCATTTTACTACACTTCTCATTTTTTAATTTAAACAGATTTCAAGTTTGTGGTAAGCTTGCGTCAGCAAGTCTACTGACACCATCTTTTCAACAGCATTCACTCACTTCATGTCTCTGCATCACATTCTGTTAATTCTCACAGTTATCTCAAATCCTCCTTCACAAGAAGTTTACAACTTGCTCAAGGCTCAAACGATGGTAGGTACTTTTAGCAATATAGTATTTTTAAATTAGGACATATACACATAATACTATTGCATATCTAACAGACCACAGTATAGTGCAAATATAACTTCATATGCATTGGGAAACCAAATAATTTTGTGAGTCACTTTATTTTGATACTCACTTTATCATGGTAGTCTATAACCAAACCTGCAATAGCTCCAAAGTTTACTTGTATCAAGTTCTTCAATTAGATTTGTGTTTCTTTTTATGGGGTTTAGTGTCATTTTTTGAATGTGTTCCTATCCCTACTGTATTTCCTAAGCAATAATTAGAAGAGTTTTGTTAATGGAAATGGTCAAAATGTGGCAAAAAATTTTTTAGAATGCCATCTGAAGTCCTATGGTTCCTAATAGTTTTTTTAAATAGTTGTTTGTTTGAGGCTTTCCAGGTCTATTATCATAATCTATAATCAGAATACATCTGTTATTTTTTCAAACATGTATTCTTCTTTATCATTATGGTATGCTACATTATGTGGTAATTTCCAAACAATGTTAAAATGCTAACGATGCTACACAATATTTGGTAATTTTTTAGTTTCTGATTAATGTTTTTTGGTTTCTGATTTTACTTTCATTGTTTACCAGTGGGAAGAATGATAACTTCTGGTTTGAGAAACACAACATATGGTAAAGATAGTAACAGACAGATACAAATTCGCACATACATCCTGCTAAGCAAGCATTAATTTCTTTCTTTTTACTTTGGGTTTAATTGTTGTGACTTTCAAATTTCAAAAGAATGCTTCTTTAGTTCTATCAGTTTGATTTTTAGAAACTTTAATGTAGCCATCATCTGCATTTTTTTACTTGGGTTACTAATATCATGAATTATATTAAGAGATTTTCTAATAGTTAGTCATCCATACATTCAAAAGAGGAATAGTTCTTGGGCCTAATCAAAGTACAAGTTTTTAGCATAATGCTGTATTCTACTTTTTAATTGGTCTACATCAGCAGTTTGCAAAAAATGGGCTCCCCTAGACCCTTCAGGGGTCTGGTAGATCAAAGATACTTTTAAAACATCTTTTACACTTTTCAATGTGTTGGCTTTGCACTGACAGTATTAAGCCAACGGTAGAAAACACTGGCACCTTAGCATGACTTGAGGCAGAGATGCCAGACTATTAGCAGTACATACTCTTCAACACCACTTGATGGGGTAGGGAAGGTTTTCACTCAAGAATGCACTTTTCGTTGAAAAGTAAAAATTATTGTCATTAAATCCTAACACTTGAGTGTGTATCTTTTTAATATTCTTAGTAATGAAAGAGAAGATACATAAAGCACTTCTGCTGCACAAAAAAAAGTGACAGTTATCTTCAGAAGCACTTGTACAATAATTGAGTTGCAAGCTGCTGCTTTTCTCATGAGCCACCATTTTTACCTACAAAAAGAACTATCAAACTATGGTCATTGACTTGGGTATCTGCCAGACATTTTCTTATATAGGAATGAATTCAGCTTGCTACTTCAAGGAAGACAACTGAAGTGTTGTCAATTATAAAATTCAAGCTGTCAGGACAAAGTCTAGAATACCAGAAGACTTATGTCTGCACTGTAAACCTAAAAGCTTCAAAATAAATACCTAAAGGCTTTTCTCATGAGATTAGTGTCATAACAAGAACTATAAAATGAAATGTTACATTTACAAGATCTGCTCAATTCAGTGATCCAATATAGATTAAGTGACCCACACATAATGTTACAAAATCATCAGGGATAAAAGACCCATTCAGAGTGTAAGATACACCAATGGGTTTCAATATATTAGAGTACAAAATCAGTGGTTACAGACTGAATATTACAAATAACCTGTTTTAAAAAAAAAAAAAAACTGCCACTCACTGCAGTTTCAATGAAGAATATGCACAATTATCTGAAAAGACTACTGAAAACATCATATCACAGATGTTTATCCATATGTTTATTAAGCCAGACATGCACAATTTATAAAAATGTGAAAACAATCTTATTCATTTCACCATTTATTTTAGTTTGGAGAAATATAAACTTTTTACAATTAAAATGTTATGCTAACATATTGTTTTAAAATGAATTAATAAATATTTTTAATTCTCAGTTTAAATTTCAATACATATCATCAACATAAACAAGCCTCTGGGATTTTTCACAATGTCTAACAGTGTAAAGAAGTTCTGAGACCAAAAAGATTAAGAAGCACAAGTCTACAGAATGTTTTATGCTACCAATTTTTATGCTACTGATTTTATAAAAGGATACATGATTCACTTTTTAAAATATACGAACGTTCCTTCATTTCCAATATTCTGGAACAACCAAAGCCTATGCCTTTAAAGTTTTAAAAACTTTACCTGTGTGACCTGAGGCTTTGTGTATGTGAAGGGCAGGAGAGAGGGTAGATTCTTCTCATTCCAAATCTACTTTCTTCCATGATTAGTTTTTTATTCCCTAAGCAGTATACATTGTGTGATATAAGGTTCTTTCACTGGCTGCCCGAACACTTAAAAAGTGTGACTCTCATGTAGAAACATTTTTGCCTTCATTTATCCCTTTTTTGTCCCCACCTATGTTTTTCACTCTCCTTGCCATTACTTTTCAATTTAAGCCACTTATCATAGTATTTTTGTAATATGCCTAAAGCATTTTCTGGAATCAGGTGAAGTACAAATACTTCACTACAGTGTAAAGTGACCACTACAGTGTAAAGCTTTTTAAGACAGATTCTGATTAGTATTATCATCCTTAATACATTTATATGTATTTGTTCAATGCAGACCCTAGAACTCATCATTCCTGAGGCTTCAGACTGGGGAAACATTCCAACATTACTGCAAGTAAGATAAGGGGAAGAGTATATATTAGCAAACGTACATTTTTTTAATTTTTACAATCCTAAGCATATTACTTGTTTAGCCCTCCAGATAAACATTAAAATCAATCAGTGTTCAAAAAATGTCCTCTGAAATTCTCATTAGGACTGTAACGACTACTAGAGGATGAACTGCCATTGTAAAAAAAAAAAAAAAAAGGCTTCCTAGTCAAAATAAAAGATATGCCTCTCCAACACTTAACTCAAATCTTCTTTACCATTGTAGGTGAAACTGGTTAATACTCATAAATAATCTTTAAAAGCTCTTTTTTTAAGCTATTTCCTTCAGAATATATGTATTAGTATATATACCTCTATTGGGTTCACTTTTCTAATACTATTGATTATCAGTATCTCTAAAACACTCTTAAAATGATGATACCACAAGTTAACTTTTTCTCTTTCTTACCTTTGCTTCTAGTATTTTACCAATAAACATGACTTAGTCAGTTTGTGATACATATTTTTATCATAGTAAGGAAATATGCCCCCACACTTACTTAATTAGGAGTTTTATAATTTCAGCAAATGCCTATTCAACAGCTATCAAGATAAACATACTGTTTTTTGTCTGTTAAAATGATGAATTATAATAAAGGAATACCTAAAGCTAAAACATTCTTGTATTTTTAGGATTATCCTACTTGACTTTGTAATTTTTAATAAAACATTAGATACCACAGGCTAATCAGTTCTTTTAGAATTTTTATATTAATGTCCTGTAGAAATTTCTCAGGCTTTCTTCATTAATTTTTGGTGTTTGTGTCATAGTAACTAAAGCTCCAGGAAGTTTTGTTTCCCACATAGTATAGAGAATGAACAGTTTCTAAGATAAAACTACTTAGATTCAAATCTCAATTTTGCCACTTGCTAATTTAGTTGTACAACTTGGAACAAATTCTTCACCTCTATAAAGTTCAGTTTTATTAACTATAAAGACAAGACACAACTGAAGTAACTCAGGTGAATTCTTAGAACAATATTTGCATCATGTATAAACTAAATAAATATCAACATCATTGATAGAAGCCCCAGTATCCAATCCAATTAGGAACAATATTTGGCTAATAGAAAAAAATGGGTTAGAAGAAATCATTACCAAAAGAAAAAGAAAGGTACACAGATACATGATTTAAACATTTTATTTTAACTAAAAACATATAAATGTATATTTCCCAATGTTCTGACACAGAGCCATGGCCTTCTCTTTCAAGAGAGGATTCACTGAATGGGGTTCTACATTAGCTTTCTTGCACAAACCACAGCCATAACATACCATCAAGGATTCCAAGCAATCTGATTATTAATTATTCTAAATTTGTATGCCTTTTCTTTCTTATAGTACCCTGCACACACCTAAATAATTTAATAGCAATGTTAAGTCTTTACAAAGCACATCTGTCCATAATTGAACATATGTACAATAATAGAATATTTGTATACAAAATTGGAAACAACTCCCTCTTGGTCATTGTACTCTTCAACTGCTGTAATAAATACAGTCTTAAGTAGAGTAGAGAGTGATAATCTACTAACTGCAAATATTCAGTGTGCTATGTTATCAAGCTAGTAGTATTTACAGATGGAACGGAGAGCACCAATTAGTGCAATAAGTCTGCTAAAGGGGAAGTTGACAGTATATGGGTATTTTTGTACCCAAAATCTTTCCTAAAAATTTTCAGCCTTATTTTCAAATACTCATGCAAATCTTACAAGTTGCGAATGAATACTACCATAAATAAGAAAACCAAAGCTGTTTTTTTTAATTTATTTAAAATATTAGATGAAGAGAAAGATGATTACCCTATGACCAAGGTCCTACAACAGGCTTCAAATAATGAAGACACATGCTAGTGAGTACACAGATGTATTTGTGTGTGCATACACATACAGATACATATAAACATGTATGCATATATGTATATAAAAGAGTATTTCTTTCTAATATCCCCAAAGATTAATTCTTCCATACTCCACACACTGAAAAACAGAATCTACCATTCATTCTCTCCTCCTTCATATTTACTCCTCCTTCCCAGTCTTATTTTTAGGGCCTCAAACATGTTAATTTAATCACAAAATATGTATGGACTTTAAGATCCTTAATTTTACTAGAACAATCATCAGAGTGCCTATAGCATAGTTTCTCTTCCTTTCAGCACTCATTTATCTTTAAACAGAAACGTGATGTTCACCTAGAAACACAAGCCTGAAATTTTTTTAATTTCCTACAGATACTACAATCACAAGCTTACCTTATTAATTCTAGTTGTGCAAGCTCCTGATTTGCTTGAAATATAGGTTTTTTAGTGAAGAGTTCACCAAGGATACATCTAACAGGAAAAAACAAACATGATTACCAAAAGGTAAGATTTCACTTAATTTATCAAAAGTTTCAAATAAACTATTCAGGAAACCTATCTTACCCACAGCTCCACACATCGATAGCTGGTGTATACCTTTCTTCTCCCAGCAGCAGTTCAGGTGGACGGTACCACAAAGTGATGACTTTGTTTGTATATGGCCGACTAAAAAACAGAGAAAGCACTCTTTAGAGTTAATATGTGTTAGAATAAGAGAATTCTCTTTGTTGGTGCTGCTGTTTACTCATTAAGTTGTGTCCAGCTCTTGCAAACCCCATGGACTGTAGACAGAGGCCAGGCACCTCTGTCCATGGAATTCTCTAGGCAAGAATACGAGAACTGCCATTTCCTTCTCCAGGGAATCTTCTCAACTGCTTCCCAGGGATCGAGCCTGCAACTCCTACATTAACAGGTGGATTCTTTACCACTGAACCACCAGAGAAGCCCCCGAAATTCTCTTAAGAAATATTATTTGGCCAATCAAAACCATCCTACAATCGTAACTAAAACCACCTTCATCTGCCTTCATACATGCTATGACATCTAACACAGGATCATAAAATAGATCTGAAGGCAATGTAATTAACTGAAAAATTCCATCAATGTATTTTTTAAAAGTCATCTTGTTTTAACCGTAATATGGACAAAGAAAGATCTATGTATCAACATAACTGTTGGCAGATTGATCTTCACCAAATCTGGCAAATTACTAATGTGTGGCAAGATACAGTTCAAACTGTAACCACCTAACGAAAGTTTTCAACTGGGCGTATCTTCCATTGACAATATTTTATTTTAACCCATTTTGGTATGTGAACAGAAGTTCAGTTCAGTTCAGTCGGTCAGTCGTGTCCGACTCTTTGTGACCCCATGTGCTGTAGTCACAGCACGCCAAGCTTCCCTGTCCGTCACCAACTCCTGGAGCTTGCTCAAACTCATGTCCACTGAGTCAGTGATGCCATCCAACCATCTCATCCTCTGTCGTCCCCTTCTCCTCCTGCCTTTAATCTTTCCCAGCAACACGGTCTTTTCCAGTAAGTCAGTACTTCACATCAAGTGGCCAAAGTACTGGAGTTTCAGCTTCAGCATCAGTCCTTCCAATGAATATCCAGGACTGATTTCCTTTAGGATGGACTGGTTGGATCTCCTTGCAGTCCAAGTGACTCTCAAGAGCCTTCTCCAACACCACAATTCAAAAGCATCAGTTCTTCAGAACTCAGCTTTATTTATGATCCAACTCATACATCTATACATGACTACTAGTAAAACCACAGTTTTGACTGGATGGACCATTGTTGGCAAAGCAATGTCTCTGCTTTATAACATGCTATCTAAGTTTCTCATAGATTTTCTACCAAGGAACAAGCGTCTTTTAAAATTTCATGGCTGCAGTCCCCATCTGCAGTGATTTTGGACCCAAGAAAACAAAGTCTCTCACTGCATCCATTGTTTCTCCATCTATTTGCCATGAAGCGATGGGACCAGATGCCACACTCTTAGTTTTCTGAATGTGGAGTTTTAAGCCAACTTTCTCCCTCTCTTTCATCAAGAAGCTCTTTAGTTCCTCTTCACTTTCTGCCATAAGGGTGGTGTCATCTACATATCTGAGGTTATTGATATTTTTCCCGGCAATCTTGATTCCAGATTGTTGCTTCATCTAGCCCAGCATTTCACATGATGTACTCTGCATATAAGTTAAATAAACAGCAGACAATATACAGCCTTGACATACTTCTTTCCCAACTTGCAACCAGTCCGTTGTTCCATGTCTGGTTCTAACCGATGCTTCTTGACCTGCATACACATTTCTCACAAGGTAGGTAAGGTGTTCTGGTAGTCCCAACTCTTAAGAATTTTCCATAGTTTGTTGTAATTTACACAGTGAAAGGCTTTGGCATAGTCAAATAAAGCAGAAGTAGATGTTTTTCTGGAACTCTCTTGGTTTTTCGATGATCCAATGGATATTGGCAATTTGATCTCTGGTTCCTCTGCCTTTTCTAAATCCAGTTTGAACATCTGGAAGTTCACAGTTCACATACTGTTGAAGCCTGCTTTGGAGAATTTTGAGCATTACTTTGCTAGTGTGTGAAATGAGTGTCATTGTGCAGTAGTTTGAACATTCTTTGGCACTGCCCTTCTTTGGGATTGGAATGAAAACTGATCTTTTCCAGTCCTGCAGCCACTGCTGAGTTTTCCAAATTTGCTGGCATATTGAGTGCAGCACTTTCTTAGCATCAACTTTCAGTATTTGAAATAGCTGAACTGGAATTTCATCACTTCCACTAGTTTTGTTTGTAGTGATGCTTCCTAAGGCCCACTTGGACTTCACACTCCAGGATATCCCGTTCTAGGTGAGTGATCACACCATCATGGTTATCTGGGTCATTTCTGTGTATTCCTGCCACCTCTTCTTAAATCTCTTCTGCTTCTGTTAGGTCCATACAATTGCTGTCCTTTACTATGCCCTTCTTTGCAAGAAATGTTCCCTTGGGATCTCTGATTTTCTTGAAGAGATCTCTAGTCTTTCGCATTCTATTATCTTCCTCTATTTCTTTGCACTGATCACTGAGGAAGGCTTTCTTATCTCTCCATGGTATTCTTTGGAACTCTGCATTCAGATGGGTATGTCTTTCCTTTTCTCCTTTGCCTTTAGCTTCTCTTCTTTTCACAGCTATTTGTAAGGCCTCCTCAGACAACCGTTTTGCCTTTTTGAATTTCTTTTTCTTGGGGATGGTCTTGATCACTGCCTCCTACACAGTGTCACAAACCTCCATCCTTAGTTCTTCAAGCTCTCTGTCTATCAAATCTGATCCCTTGAATCTATCTGTCACTTCCACTGTATAAATGTAAGGGATTTGATTTAGGTCATACCTGAATGGTCTAGTGGTTTTCCCTACTTTCTTCAATTTATGTATTAATTTTGCAATAAGGAGCTCATGATCTCAGCCACAGTTAGCTCCTCGTCTTGTTTTTGCTGATGGTACAAAGCTTCTCCATCTTCAGCTGCAAAGAATATAATCAATCTGATTTCAGTATTGACATCTGGTGATGTCCATGTGTAGAGTCATCTCTTGTATTGTTGGTAAAGAGTGTTTTCCTATGACCAGTGTGTTCTCTTGGCAAAACTCTGTTAGCCTTTGCCTTGTTTCATTTTGTACTTCAAGGCTAAACCTGCCTGTTACTCCAGGTATCTCTTGACTTCCTACTTTTGCATTCCAGTCCCTATGATGAAAAGAACACCTTTTTTGGATGTTAGTTCTAGAAGGTCTTGTAGGTCTTCATAAACTGTTCAACTTCAGCTTCTTCAGCATTAGTGGTTGGGGCATACACTTGGATTACTGTGACACTGAATGGCTTGCCTTGGAAATAAACAAATCATTCTGTCATTTTTGAGACTGCAACCAAGTACTGCATTTCAGACTCTTGTTGACTATGAGCGCTACTCCATTTATTCTAAGGGATTCTTACCCACAGTAGTAGATATAATGGTTATCTGAATTAAATTTGCCCACTCCGGTCCATTTTAATTCACTGATTGCTAAAATGTAGATGTTCACTCTTGCCATCTGCGTTTGACCACTTCCCAATTTTCATGGACCTAACATTCCAGGTTCCTATGCAATACTGTTCTTTACAGCATCAGACTTTACTTCCATCACCAGTCATATCCACAATGTTGTTTTTGCTTTGGCTCTACTTCTTCATTCTTTCTGGAGTCATTTCTCCACTCTTCTCCAATGACTTACTGGGCACCTACTGACCCAGGGCTCTTCATCTTCCAGTGTCATATCTTTTTGCCTTTTCATACTGTTCACAGGGTTCTCAAGGCGAGAATACTGAAGTGGTGTGCCATTCCCTTCTCCAGTGGACCATGTTTTATCAGAAGTCTCCGCTATGACCCATCTGTCTTGGGTGGCCCTACACAGCATGTCACATAGTTTCACTGAGTTAGACAAGGCTCCATAAGATCAGTTTGGTTAGTTTTCTATGATTTTGATTTTCACTGTCTGCCCTCTGAAAGATAAGGATAAGAGGCTTATGGAAGCTTCCTGATGGGAGAGACTGACTTCAGGGGAAACTGGGTCTTATTCTGATGCCTGGGGCCATACTCAGTAAATATTTAATCCAATTTTCTGTTGATAGGTGGGGCTATCTCTCTCCCATTCAGGTTTATTCTGTAAAGAACCACTGGCAATAAGTAAGACACTTTACCATCTTCTAACAATGAAGACATATATATGTGCCTTCACACACACACATATGACATACGTCTTTAGATCAATTCTAAATGTCTCCTTCTTTCCAGATATCCTCCAAATCACAAGGACACAAAAGCTGTATCAGGAAATTCCCCAGAACGGCTGTATTCCAAGCCAAGCCACCTGAGTCAGCTTAAACTTGGACCCGTCTGGGCAAGGAAAAAAAGGGGCGTATGCTTTACAAGCAATTCCCTCTTGCTGACTGTAGGTCTTAGTTCCAAGCAGCCTGCTTCCACATGGCCAGATTTCTCCAAATAATTTAAACATTTATACTATATGGCATTTATCTAAACATCACAGCATTACTCACAGTTAGGACTATAGTAACAATGTGCCAAAGCCAGGAAAAAAAAATACTTGTCCTTGTTAAAACAGAGAAAATAGTCTGTTTTCAATAGCTAAGGAGCATTAGATTTTTCTAACATTACTAAATTACTTTCCTTAGTGATTTTTGCTTGTTTTTACTAGCATCACTTTGCACAATGAGGAAGTCTCTTAAACTCTAGCTATTCTAATTAAGCTGGATTTAACCATTTAAAAATAAGTTCACCTCTTGATGACCTACGTCCTTTTAAATTTGAAGTTCCTTCCCATTTTACTCTCACTCAAACCTATACCTCCTTAAAAAAATAAAAACCTATACCTCCTTTAAAACATAGTGAAAGATCCATCTCCATAAGGTCTAATCTCTTTTTAACAACAGATTTGTTTTTAAAAAGAGGTTTATTTTCATATTCTTAAATTTACACCATACTTACCACTGTATTGAACTATTTTGTTTTCTCTATGTTACAAGAAACTCAAAAGGCCTCAGAGGCCATTCTTTATTATGAACCCCACAAACTAAGCCCAGAACAGTGCTGGACATAGGGAAGAACTTTTAATGTATATGGCCCCAACTTTAGG